TGCATATTCCAATTCACCAGTACAGCAGAGCAGATGCAAAGCTGATACCTATGTTAATGTTCAATAGCTTCAGAACTTTGTAGTAGTTATTTGTTGCCCAAGAAGTATTGCAAAGAAATCATAAATATTTCTTCTTAATACAAAGTGCACTCCTATGACATACAGCTAAGATGTGGGTATTTGATGGAACCACAGTAAATATGTAGTTTAAGATGCTAACATTTTTAAGCTGATGTTTGACAGTAATGATTGTGCACTGTTGAAAATAGCATTACAATGCATATAAAAATATATTTTATTAAGTACTTAATTTTCTGTCAGCCTTTCGAAACATACATTGCTCTAACTGATAATATTTTCAGTCTTGTTCAATAGAAAGTGCAAAACATAGGTGGAAAGCAGAATAGTTCTGATTGTGTCCAAAGAGTCACCAATTAAAAAAAAAAAAAAAAACTAAAGTCCTGAATTTGACAAGTCATATTCAGCTTGGGAAATAGTRAAAAAACCCCAACCAACCCAAAACACAGGAAAGGCAGAGATTAAAATGAAAAACAGTGAGAGACCCCACTTATATAAATTATATAAGGCCATTTCACACTGAAAGCCTGAATTTTGAGTAGGAACTTTACTACAGAAGACGATTCATGTTTGAGTGTGATGGAAACACAGGAATTTTGTTAAGGAAATTTTTAGAAGAAAAAAACCAAAGAATAGTTGAAAAACTGTCCTAATCAGCTATTTGTTTGGAAATCAAAATAATCTGATCTCCCAAGACTTCTTGAAAATCTAAAAAATATCCAATCATTTTAAAACACTCTATAACAGTTTCCCAGGACAAATATGTCATATTAGAACAAGTCTGAGAGTATAATCAATGTTTCTCAGTAGATGACTCTTTTTTCATGTTTACAGAAATTAGAATTTTATWTTTTTTTTCTCTTAACTCCAGACCTAGAATTACAAGCCTAAACACAAAGTAAATAGTCAGGTATATAAAGGAAAATTGTATTTCCCAGATATTTCCAATGCGACATCTTGCCCCCCAAAAGAGCAAACYATTCTGTGTTCCACAAACAAAGAGGCCCTTATCACAAGAGTAAATATTAGATGGTATTCATAGAGATGAGAAACAGATCTTTAAAATGTAAAGAAATGTTGATCAATTGTACTTTAAATATCAGCATAAGAAGGACAGGAAATGGTTGGTACCTTTCAAACACTGAGAGTAACAAAGCTGGCAATTGGATTACAGTAGCCTACCTGAGAAAACCAGATAAAACCCAATCTGACTCTTGTTCGAATATTCTGGTTGTAAAGTTTTGCTTTCACTGCTAGATATTGTTTATTTTCAAATATATGTTTCACTCAATCTGCCATGCTTCCTCTGTGAGGCAAATTTTTAAACAAAGACAGAGAAGAATGGCAAGAATTCAACTTAACATTCAAAAGCAAAATTCGTCATACAGTCTTATATTAGACTCTTATTTCTCTGTATTAAGTAACATTCAAGGTTGTATTTTATTTTTTCCTGAGCTAGCATATCTCTTTATTTTGCAAGGATGTACTCTAGAAACATATTTTGGCAAGTTTAACAGGGCAAAAATCATTGACCAGTGAAAACACTACCTGCAAGTAGTGCTACAAATGAAAGACATATTAGATTTTCTCCTCTTGTTTTAGGTTTATGTGGCAAGATTTTGATGGCAGGGGGTACTGTTCAGAGGTGGTCTCTGACAAGAGCCAAGGGATGCTTAGCTCATCATCAACATTGCTGATGTCTCTGTGATTACATATTTTAAAAGTATGCTTCAACAGGAGTGAGAAAAACATGGTAGAAACTACCCTGCAGACACCCAAGGTCAGTGAAGGAGTGAGAGGAGGYGCTTCAAATGCCAGAACACATTCTATGTAGCCTGTGCAAAAGACCASGGTGAAGCAGATTGCTCCCCTCCAGGCCAGGACGGACCACATCAGAGCAGATATACACAATGCAGTGTGTGCAGAAGCCCACACAGAAGCAGCTTTTCTGACAGGACTGAATCCCATGGGAGACTCATGAGGAGCAGACTGTTCCTGAAGGATTGWACCTCATGGAAAGCACACGCAGTGGAGCATTTCTTGAAAAATTTGCCCAGCAGGAAGGACACACACTGTAACAGTTCATGAAGGACCCATGGAAAAACCCAGGCTGGAGCAGGGAAAAGTGTGAAGAGAAGGGGGCAGCAAAGACACAGTGTTATGAACAGATCATAGTTTCATTCTCCATCCCCTTGCACTGTTCATTGGAGAGGAAGTAGAAAAGTCAGGAACAAGGAAGTGAAGTTAAGCATGGGAAGAACAAGGTGTGGACAGAAAGGTGTCCTTCCCAATATTTTTTTTTTTATTATTAAATGTAGCAATAAATGAAATTTCTTTTCCCCAAGTTGAATCTGGTTTGCTGGTGACAGTAATTAGTAAGCCATGGCACTGTTCTCTTCTTGACTTACAAAACTTTTCATCTTTATTGTCTCTCCTTCCCTGTCTTGTTAATGAGGGAGAGTGAGAGCAGCTTGATGGGAACCTGACAGCCAGCCAAGGTTAATCCATCACATCTGTTTTGAGGGCAAAAGTATTCTCAATGTCTTCCTCAGAAACTTTTGACTCAGAAGTTGCTTTGGAGTTGTTCAGGAATTTAGGGATCCTGAAAATTCTGACAGGTTTAATCTTTAAGTTGTAAACCTTACAACTTCAYTTAAGCTTTAAAAATTGATCAGGATGTAGTCCTGCTTTAAGAATGGTACTCCCAAATTCAGTGCCCCCACTGAAACTCTCTAAAACCACACACTGCTCTCTTCTACTGCCCCCTGCCCCTGTGTTCCCCGCCCTGCTGTGGTGAGATGGAGGTGAGAATTGGAGGCACAAAAGGCCAAGATCACAGATTTTGATAAGAACAACTTACTGGTAACAGCAATGAGATATGAAAATGAACAATAACAGCACAATATAGATAACAAAAGAATACAAGAGTGAGTGATTCACATTCTAAACTGCTCACTGAGGACCGAGATACAATTCTGACATGTTTTTTTGCAACTGGAACACTCTTCTTCTCTCAGACAGAGAGAGGGTCCCTTTTCCCCAACCCTGGCAATGAGTGAGGTGGTATCAAATAACTTTAGAGCCTTTAGTTGCCTCCCAGCTATCGCAAAAAATTAAACCTGGCCTAGCCAGAACAAGGAGAGAGGTGTACCTGAACCATGGATATCTAAACATTTGGAAACTCTATTAGCAAAGTTAAGATGATTTACAAAGTCCAGATTCAGTGTATATGAAAAGCAAGAATAAAAAGTAGAAAATAATTCATACCCCATTTAAAGACAAAGAAACTACAAAATATTTTATTGAGAAGTTCATGCAGTAATGGATTTCACATCCATGACCCCTCAAAGAGCATATGTTTATGACATGAATAATGTAAAAGATAAGCAGGGCTAATCAAGCCAGACACATACAATGGCAGTGTAGGTATTCAGTTTCCATTAAAGAAATGTATATTTAAAACTAGTTGGAATATCTGTTTAAACGTCTACCGCACCATATATTTATTATTAAATAGCCACTGATTAAAATATTCATCCTTTATGTATTTTTGTGCTTTTATTTTTAACTTCTATTRTTGTTTGAAGTATCATCTAGAGAAATAAAGACAACTCAGCCAGACCATCTCTCTTTCAGCTTTTCCTAGTCACCTGAACTATCTTTATACCGCTAATAGTCAGACATAAATTAAGAATATATTATAATGTATTCCTGCTTTAACTGCTCTTTGGTTGATCCCAAGCCAATGGTGTAATCAGTGGACATCAGCCAGATYAGATGGCAATGTTTTAACCACTTTATCTACTGATCTCTTTGCAAATGCCATGCAACGGCAGTCTTACAGAAAAGTGGAACAAATAGACCTGCACCATGAAAGCCTCAATCTTTATGCTCCATAATCTTGACCTGCACTAAGTTGACTGAGAATCAATCACCAATATATGATTACTGGTCTGTTTACTTGCTTCAGAAAAGTAACAGTCAAAAACAGAAGTCAAAATATCTCACTTGAAGYAAGCTGGCTTAGCTACTTAATAGGTTAATAAGAAACAATAAAACACAAATATTTTCCATATATCAGATATTAAAAATTCATGTCAAAGGAATAAACTATTCAGTATAACTGAGACAGATTCATGCAAAGTTTGTATTTAAAATATCCTCTAGTAATTGAAGCAAAGCRTTTATTGTTATCATTCTAAGCTACTAAACACACACACACATGCACACAGAGTTAATGGAACCCACAGGCTACTGATGTGGCAGTTTATCAAATTTAGCTGTAATGAAAGATAAATACTACAGGCAATTCACACTTCATGAAAGGATAAAAGTGTCAGCGTATAGGTACCAGTTTTACTGCAGGCCATAATCAGCAAGTAAACGAAAGTGCAAATGTCTAAAAAGTTTATAGCTCTCTATGAACGCCTCATCGTGTCAGGTATTGATTTAGGCTTTCAGAGGACTTTGCCAGTGCTGAGCAACATGAGTGTCTGCGAATTTAAAGAACATGTTTTACCCCTCCCAATGCCATGTTTTACTTCTTACCACCTCTAGTTGTCTCCAACCAAATTTTAATATGTCCCCATTGTTTTAATATAAGGAAATAGAAAAAACTGTTCCTTACACAACTATTTTCTTCTTAAACAGAGGGCAGTCCAGAGTGAATGTTTCATATTCTCCTCCTTCTCCACAAACATGGACTCCATATTTCTCAGAGAGCTAACACAAAAGGGAAATTGAAATGTAAGTATTACATTAATGAAGTCTATTAAACACATTTTACTGAAAATGTCAAAAACAGTACAGTACACACTGGTTGCTAGCTGGGGTTAAAATATGACAAAGCTTAAAAAAATTATAAAAGATTACCCATGACAAGGCTGAAAAAATCTAAACATCACACAGTCAGTTCTTGATTTCTTCGTATGCCTATTACAGCAATCTAAAAATTACCAATGTGTTATATTTTAAGTAGAACTGGCACTCTAATATTCAGATAAACAAATTGACCCCTAGTTCTTCTTCCTCAGTGGCCATGAGAGATAGTTGAGATTGCCACATTTGTCTAACTTTCTTTAGCGTATCTATTTCATCTTTAGGAGAAACTATTACTGTGAATCAACACAAGTAGCACTTCACATGGAAKTATACAATAAACACATGTTTTTACAACAGATTCAGAAACAGTATTCTGTATTTGAGTAACCATTCTTTCAAAAAAATCTAACAATACCTATAGTTAGTTTTCTAAGTCAAAAGCAAACAGCTAAAGCACGATCTAAAGAGAGAAAAGCTTGCTGTTTTTTTAATAAATTGTACTTAATGTACTTTCTAAATCAACATATATTTRTGAACATTTCTGAAGCTCTGGACATCTCACTAACACAAAAAACATTCAAAATATGAGACATGACTATTTTAGTTAATCCCTGCTTATAAATGAGCAGCTGTGGTGCATGAACCAAAATTCATTTGCTGGAGTAAGCAGTGCACAACTGGTCAATAACTGATCAACTGAACTACTGTTTCCATGTACTGTACTGATAGTAACCAAGCACCAGATCCAAGCATGGGGATGCCCTTTCTTTGTCTGCAGGAGAAATTCATGTCCTCAATTCATGTCCTCAGCAGCAGATTATATCACCTTCTAAAGTGTTACTGCAGCAGCTGATTCAAGCCAAGCCCTGTCTGGGCTTTTTAACATTAAGAAAGCACTTACATTCTGCCTTAAGTGACTCATGAGAACTTGAATTGCAGCCTTTAATTCCCTTGCAGACACCAGTATAACTTTGGGAGTATTTCTTTAACCCCTTTATGCCTTTCCTTGGAGGAACAGAAGCCCACCCATGATGCGTCTGCAGTTAAAGTAGCAATACTGCTCACCAGAATGTAGGAGAGGGTTAGATAAAAGTCTACCTGGATGCTAGAAAATAATTGCAAATCTGCTATTTGTTTCTTTTTCAGTAAACATAAGACTGGCTTATCTATACATTGTTGATTACATTTTTTATATGGTCATCAGAATATTTGTGTAGCAGTCTATTTCATATATTCAAATGACACTGTATTTTTATTGTTGAAGCTAGCAAATGTATTTTGTTTTATTTTACCGCTTCTTTCAATTTTTCTTAATTTTAAAACTTCAAAGAGTGTCTTAAACCAAAGGACCAAATCCTCTTCAGCCATTATTTTGCAGAAAAGGAAAATACTCTAAGAAAACGATAGCTCAGTAGTACTCTATATGAATATTTAGTTGTCTGTTGCTGTAAAATCTAAATATCTTTTGGAACATATACTACAGATTTTTTCAGTATCTTGTTATGAGGGTTATTTTTAATTTTTCCTTTCATATTTTCTTTCAAAGAAAAGGAGCAAAAGAGAACCTTTAATCAAGTGCTCATTAAAAAATTACATTCCTGACACAAAAGAGAACTCCATCTGTCAACAATGGCAACAAGGTTTCTATAGGACAAATACATCAGGAATAATTAACGTTGATGCAACAAGAATGGACAACCTACAAAACAGTTAGTCATAACCTTTTATTCTTACTCTATTGAAAAAAACCTACAGAAAGCTACTGAAAAATGAAAGAGAGAAACCCAGGAAAGATCTTTCTATTTGTAACTTTTCCACAGTGAATACATGAGGTGACTGTTTACAAGTCACTTTCAAAATTGGTAGCTCTGCTTGTAAACAGGGTCTAGAATAATTATTGGCAATTAACATTGAATACTCAAAAGATGTAAGTCTATTTCCTATCTTTGTTGTGAGAAATTCTCATTTTCAATGTTAGTGGCTTCAACATCGTTCTTGACACCAATTATACAAGGTGCTGAAGGATTTTCAGTTCTCACAAATGTTAACAGGAACAAAAGATACTCAGCAGCTCATAAAACAGTTCCTTAACATTCATTTAACAAAATCAGCAATATTTTTAAACGTCATCAATAGCATGAGAATTTTGCCTTTTAATAACTTAGAATATTAAAATTTTTTGAAGACCAATTACTTGGTTTTAAAAATTTGGATGCTACATTAATAACAATACAACAACATGGACTCTAAATTTTATGATTGCTAAATCTGCCTTCTAGCTCAGACGAGCCAGAAAACTACAAGTTTTCAAATTAAATTTAATTAATTGCACTTAATGCAAGTCCACTTCAAAATCCAAAAGAAATCTATAATGAAAACATCTTCTAGATTACACAAAATTTATCCTAACTACACAATGAGATGCAGAATATACATATAAATAAGATATATATAATTGACCAGTCCAAACATTACCTGAAGAACAGTCTCTTCCTATGTTGGGAATGAAACACAAGGATTAAGGCTTCCTTCTTTGACTTTAGTAATCAAAGATAAATATTTGAATTCAAGTGCTTCCTTTCACAAGTGAAGACTTTGTTCCCAGAGAGAAACTGTAAGACTTAATAAATTCTCATATTCACAGAAATGGTCTTTACATCAAGATATTCTCATTACCTTCTGCAATACGAATAAGTATTTTCCTACTCCCAATCATCAATGCCACAAGTACAGAAAAAAAAAATATAACCATTATGTCCATTTGCCATTCTACAAACAAATTCTAAGGAGAGTGGGATCACCCCCTGAGACATAAGTTGACAGAAAATTCTTTGGTGTAAAAAGCTGAGATTCCTGTTATAGAGGAAACAGTGGGACATGAAAACAATTTAATAATTTAGCAATTACCTAGCAACCACTCCTCAATAATTAATCAAAGACCTATAAAATAGAAAAAAAAAGCAATAATTCAAAACTTTCCTTTCCACAATGCCAATATCCTGAGCCAGTAAAATTCACTCCTGCTAAAAGTATGGGCAGCAGATCAGGATTGCACTCCTAAATTCAACATTATGTATGTAATCAGAGAAAAATTGCAAGAAGTTTTTCTCACTTGCTAGTCTCCCATTTTTCTGCTGCTACAGCAGAAAAACCACCACACCTTTACATCAGTAAATATTATAATTCTTATTGTACACATAAAATACAGTAAATCAGAAGACTGAAAATTTAGGTGAGGATACTTTTTGAAAGTCAGGTAATTGAGTGGAGGAAATCAGGGCTGGGTTGTGGGTTTGTTTCTTGGGGATTTTTTCCAAATAACACTCTTTTAGTGCCTCACCCAGAGATATTTTTTAAAAAGAGAATGACCAGTCTATGTTTATTTCTTATATAACCAAAAGACAAATTGCAACAGGTGCATTATAGTAATACAAGTTGATTTCAGACTCATCGACTGTTMCTTAAGGTAAACTTTTAGCGCAATAAAAAACCCAAAACAACTTCTAGTACCAGAGAAGTTGAACTTTGTGACTACATACTAAAATATACTCCCTACAAATCCCAAATTACTCAACATATACAACATGTTGTAACTCTTTATCAAAGATGTTCATATTCAACAACATTGGCATTTTTCTGSGCACTGAGCTTATTCAGATATAAAGTGGTTTTCAACAAAACTGAAGAACTGTAGAATATTACTTAATTAATTCTAAACAGAACAGCAAAAATTGTCACACCACACTAGAAAAAAATGCTGCCATGAAATACCCTGCACCAAGCTGAATAAGCAGCTATGTAAAGTTTACATCATAAATCAGATGTTTAAAAAAGTTTACATCAACATCAGATGTCAAAAAATAACTCAAAAAACAACCCACAAGAACAGGAACAAACGATATTAGCAAAACATCCCACCATGAAAAACAAATTTACTGTAAAATTTGAAATTACTGATTAAATAATAGAGCACAAATCAAAGATCACGAGTATATAAAGCTGGGCTGGTTTTGGAGACGTGCAGTGTTAAACATTAATTCATTATGGCATTTTATTTGGTATGGTCAGAATATTAAATTTTATCTCTCTTCCTTACTGAAAACTGAACCCTTGTTTTCACATTCTGTCTGTCAGTACTTCTGATGCTTCTGAAGACTTCCTTGGTTTGCAAAAGAATATTTTTCACATCATAAGCGTAAGTATTTTTCTTCAGTTTATATTTAATGATTTGGGTTTACTAGGCCTTAAATCCAACTAAGTATCCAGTAAAAACATTTTATTTGTACTGGCTCTGACTTTCATAGCACGCAGAAGAAACAGCCAAATGAACAAATAATCAGTTGTGCAGTCTTCCCTACAATAGCCTGCACTGCAAGCAGGGTCAGAATACCCTATTTGCACACTTTAAGCTCTGCTTAGTGTTGTATCAATAAAATACATAACCTTCAAATGTGGATTTTGAGAATTTTTTAAACATGACAGTGAAACCAAGTAAATAAGAAGCACTTCAATTAAGACGTCAAGCATGATAAAGAATATATATAATTCACAAAAAATACCAGGTACTTTGGATTTCACAGTTTATTATTTTTTTTAAATGAATGACAGTGAAATTAAATTGAAGAAGAATACTTCTTATTAGCACAATTAAAGTTGCAATACTTGCTGCTACACTTTTAAAGAAAGTCAAGACTGCTGATTCAATTGAGGTGAGGAGGTACCTGAGGCTGCAACCCGGATTTTGACTACAGAAGCTTTGTATAAATGCGGAATGTTGAGACAATTTAAAGAAATAAATGAAACAAGACTTACAAAAAAAAAAAAAAGATAGTGAATGGGATTTGCATACCAACTACTTTACATAGCAGAGGGCCAGAGAGGAGGAGAGGAAGATTCTCCAGGCCTGAAGCAACAAACCTCAAGAACAGACCAACACCATCTCTTCAAGTAAGGTTATTTGAATGTTCTGGACCTTAATTCTTTCAGCTTTGCCAGGTGGCAATTAACTATCTTCTCTTCAGCCATGTAAATAACTAATAAAATGGAGTTAAAGTCAAGATAATAGCTATGTAACTCCACTATCTTCTAGTAGCAAAAGGGATTTCTAAAGTTCTGGTTACTTTTTCTTTTTCCTCTGCAATTTCACCATGCCCATAACTATTCAATAGAAACTACTTATGAAGCCAGGCTGACTGGTAACTACCCAGATTAACAATGGAAAGTATTTTAGGAGACCACTTTGTAGAAATTTAGATAGCCTACACTGATGAAAGCTACACCAAGACCCTCTTAATATACATGCAATCATTGTGGGTTTTTAATAGGCTCAAGGACAAGGAATTGTGGTAAACTGGTATTGTTACAGACATTACATGAAGACTTAATTTCAGAACTGTTATTCCTTAACTTTACTTAGCTTGATGTTTGATGCTTCTACATCAAACTCAAAGTAGAAGTCAAGTACAAACTCAGGACTTTTTTCCCTAGCTGACTAATTTTTCTTTAAATAAGTCTACTAACTCTGCCAATGAGCATCACCCTGTTTTGAGGACACATCTTTGCACAGAATTAAATACATCCTCAGGAATAAACCTCTTATTCAATTTTTAAAGGCCCTACTGTATGCACTCTGACTGTGTAAATGGTAGGAGCCCTGCAAATAGGAATTTTTGAGGAAGTTTTGTATCACCTATGATTTTGCCACTATCATTTCTTGCTTTGAAAGTCTCTAAGTTATACACAATTATTTAGCTTTATCATAATAATATATAAATTAGTGTTCCTCCAATATTGAGGTTTCATGTCTTTAGTTTGTTTTAAAGATGCTGACACCATTTGCGAACCATGTCAAGAAATAATGTTTTTCATAGCAAAAGTGCATAGTAGAGGCTCATATTCTGTGTACAAAGCTAAACTTTGGGTTAACACCTAACTTATGAAAGTAATTTTTTATTAAGCTAATTTTACTGAATTTCTGCCTGTGTWGCTTTTTAACTGAAAGTTTAACTATATGAATATCCTTTAAGTGATACTCACCTCCAAAAGAATAGGTTCCATTTCACCTAGAGTTTTTCCTAGATGCTTATCTGGATCTAAACCTGCAAAAAAAACCCAAAAAGTGTAAAAATATTTCTTATTAAGTACTCTTACAACATCAAGAAGGGTTTGTTTTTGTTCTCTTTTTTTCAAATATAGCATGTCTCACTTAGATACTCCACAGCATCTAAAATAACTGCTATCTTAAGAAAATACACTTAGTCACAATTTTTCCTAATCCTCTTTGGGCAAATGGTTTCCATGTTTATGGAAAAATAAAGCCAGTTACTATTTCACTACATGTCAAGTGGAGAAGCTATTGTTTCTCTTAGAAATTTCACAAACCAGTGTGTGGTGAGCCTATCTAAGGCCTATGCCTGGTCAAGGGAGAGAAGGCCCGTGAAGGTTCTGGAACAGTCTGGACCGTTGGCCATCGTTGGCCAGCAGCTGGCAGGTGCAGTAACGKTTCCAGTAGGGCACTGTCTCGAGTACCCTCGTGGCCATGAGAATCACTAAYGTAACTATATGGCAGAGCAGAGTCAGCACGAGCTACCTGCAACAGCAGAACTGTCATATAAGGAATTATATATCGTTAGTAGGAGCTCATGAATGTTAAGTTACTGTTACTCCCGTTAGAAAAAGTGTTAAGTTTGACTGTTGTTACCGTTAGAAACCCTGGGTATAAAAACCCTCCGGAGCGCGCAATAAAGTTTGAGAGAGAAAGTTCACATTCTACCAGATCTACGAGGTCGTTTCTGTGTCTCTCCCATCTCCTAACAAATGGTCGCTCCRACACCAGTGAAGTAAACACACAGGACCATGGTAATAAAATAGTACACAGATATTGCCTCTTTGAGTCAGAAGTTACCTTTAAAGATACCTACTAAATTAAAATACAAGTTAATTTTTTTTATAGTTCCTGCAACTGGAAGGGACACAGACTGTTTTCCATAATGAAAGCTTCTTTTGCCAAGTCCCATTCTGTGCGTGTGTCACGCACATAAAAAATGTAAGATAAAAAAGGATGGAGATAGAAAGAAAACTCAGACTTACAGAATGTATTCAATGTTGTACTTTTTGAACCATCACAAAATATTCTGTATGATGACTACATTTTGATTTACTTTTCTTCGTAAAAAATTAAGTCCTATTAACATTTGATAGCTGTTCTAACTTACTGCTCTCTATTCCTGTATCAACTTACTGACTTTTTGAGTTTGGCCAGCTCATAACAGTTAACGGTCACTTCTCAAGGAAAAATCAAGTAATTGCCAGAAATCAGTGGTGGGATAAAATAATCCAAGAACAACTGTTTCAAGAGCTGAMATCTTCAACCAAATAAATATGCTAGCTGGATTTGATACCAAGTGACCAAAAATTCTTACCATATGAAGCAAATGAGAAGAACCAAAATGATAACTCCTGAAAGTGAAGGAACACTGAGAAATTTTCAGTTATCCCATTTTTCACTAGTCTTAATTATTGTGGCCACTAGTCTTAATTATTGTGGCTTGGGCTTTTTTTTTTCTACTTATACAATACTTGTCTATTTTTTTCCTACTCTACTGCTTTATACAATAATAGGTGTCATTAAAGAGCTGCCACCAAAATTACTCCATTCAGAAGCAATTTCTGAAGTATGTAGCTGCAAAGCACTTTAGATCATTGATGATGAAAGCTGTTATATAAATGTACAGTACACTATTATATAAAGTCATTCCTGAGTTAAAATAGCTGATATGTCTCTTAATTTTTACAATCATGATCTTGGTATATTTAAATTCCCGTGAAACTAAAACAAGTTAGAGTGAATGAGATTTCAAAACACTAAGAAAGTTTTTAAATATTTCATTAAAGCACATTAAAAATTCCCTTACTATCTAGGGGAATGCTTTTAAAACTGCTTAATAATTAAAGTTAAAAGAGACTGAGGCTTTTTCCTCTCTCTATTCCATTTTTGTATTGGTTTATTGCTTTTTATTAACAGACTAAAAATGTGTGTGCTAGATATATGATAATGATAATTTATTCTCATGGAAATAATTTTGAATTATATTAATTAAATTTCAATAGTTCAAATGGTTCTGGTGATCTCTTCCAACTTACATCAGCTTAGCATTCTGTCTTTGATTTTWATGGGATATTAGGCCAAACAGGCAATTGTTCTTGAAGTCTTGAAGTAAATGAATGAGAAGTGTATTACAGTACCATTTCRCACATTTACATTAACATTCTTCCTTTAATATAATTACTTTTCTAAGATAATCAATCCCTCTCTCCTTGATAAAATCAGATTTATTTCCTCTAAATTTAAACCAAGGGATACATTACAAACATATGAGAAGGGAAAAAAGTTGCCAGAATCAGACACGCAAACTATTTCTTTCACAAGCTTCTCTTTGATAAAATGGACATATCTTCTATTCTGTCCCATAAGGAAACCAAATCAATTAATTTAAAAGAAAGGAAGGTACAAACAGTGTATGAAATTGAAATAAATTGCCTATGTATACACTATGGGTAAACTCTTTAGTAATATTCCACACCTATGTGAAAATCTGTGATAGAGCAACATACCCTTCTTCTCAGCAGCAATCTATTTTTGGACAGACTGCATTTTTTTGAAAAATATTATTTCTTTTTGTTTCCAAAAAGTTTGTATTGTGAATGAATAAAGACTGTCTGGTAAAGGCATCAAGAACCACTCTAACTTGCAATTTGCTGAACCAGCAATTCACATCTCAAATCTACATTGGCATGCATGAACAGATAAAGCTGTATGTCTATTGCTACAATTAGCATAGTAAAATATTTGGAACCATATTTACAGAACAGTTATCATGAATCTATACTTCTATTTGGTACTTTTTTCTTTATTGATTCAGGTTCTTAAAAAGGCATAAACAAAAGAGAAGAACAATTACAAATTCTTAGTACCACATCTTACAAATTTTTCCTCAATGGAACAATACATGAAGAAAGCTGAATGGATGGATAAACCAACAACAAGGTCCAGGGCCTGAATGACTGTATGTAGAATTTAAATATTAATTAGGAAAGGAACCATAATTTGCAGCAATGACATCTATTTTATTTAACTTTCATGTATCAATGGGAAGCAATTAGAATTCAATTAAAATATTCACTTTTATTACTTCACTGATTGACCTTGAAGTTAATGCCTGTTTTATTTAATTGCATCATCTATGAATAAATGTTAACCCTAGAATGTTATGGCCCATTATTTTCAATGCATTTTAACTCCCTAACTGAACTACATTAATCAATCTATTATGTGCTGCCAGGAGACCAAGTGCGGCTTTATTTCTTTGAGATAGACCAGTACAGGATGACAGAAACATCTCAAAAGATTTGATAATGTTGTTTTTAACAGCGTTCAGTTAAAAAAAATTGTGCTTTCACCTCCAGTTTTGTGTCCAGTTCTACTGCAAAATCAGTAAGTGATAGCACAAATGGTATAATCACTTCAAAGTAATTTCTACTCCATCTGTAATTCTTGACAAATCCTGACAGGAGTAGAACTTCTTCCTACAGATATCAACAATGGTTGCAGAAGGACTTATGCACAGCCACAAGACAATGTTGTAGAGAAGTGCAGCAATGTCAAAAGATTGGAGTAGAAATTCACAGCTTTGTTCTATGGTGAAAAAAAAAGAACCTTACTAAAAGGCATTTCACAACTGTTGAGTTATGCAAAGGAACCGCATTTTAAATGGTTCACTTTGTACATATGTATTACTGTACCAGAAGTCCTCACCTTAGGGGCAACTACCTGATATTACTTGCATTTATCAAGACCAAGGGAAAATCAAGCTACATTTTCATGGCATTACATTCAGCTAATAAAATTCACATTCTAAAGCCTTATCTGACTAACAAGAACATGTTTTATCTATGTTCAGAATTTAAAACCATCTGTATTTTTAAGAAAGAATTTTAAAATAAAAAATTCTATTTTCACTTCTTAGTAAAATTTAAAATAAATAGAAAGAAATCATAATTACCAGTTTGAAGAAGTGGTGGTACATAAAGGTCTTCTGAAAGCTACACTGAACCAAAATCTAACCCATAATATATGAACACATTGTAAAATAATCACTACCACACACACAGATCAATAAAGTATGAGTTAATTACCACCTGTTGATAATATAGGCAAAAAACTCTATTTTTTCCTGACTAATCAACCTTACATTAAATCTTATTAAACCTCACATAAAAGCTTAATACTCACTGACTTTTCCCATAACGTAATTTTCTTGACATGTCATATTCATAGAATTAGGATAGAATTCGGAAAAAAAAATGGAACCTATTTTAAAGTTACAGCAACATGAAGTTCCCACTTTTTTCCTGACTTCTTGAGAAGTAATGTTGAGAAGAGTAGTAACAGCTATCATWATGGATCTCAGGGACTAAGACTTCTGATGATGTAGGGCCATCAAATGTGCAATAAAATTTCTGGAAAGATCCTAATTAGCTGATCACCAGCTGTTTAGAATTTTGAATAAGAAAAGAGGTAATGAAACACTTTGGTTTTCTAGAACCAAAACTAGTTTTTTCTTCTCAATCTCTTTATCATAAAGAAAACAGGTTAAACAACCTGTTTAACAATGATAAGATCTGTAAGGTAAAAAAATAAGTACAGAAAGCAAAAGAGGATAAAGGATAAAGGCAACCACCCTAGAACTATGTTATTTAGAACTGGAACAGAGAAAACAAGAGTATTTTTGAGCATAAATTCCTCTATTTTAAATGTGGGTTCTTTTTTTCCCCCCTTTTCTAAGTAAACAATACAAAACCATTGTTTCAGAAGGATGATCAAGCACTAWTCTTTACACAGTACAGAATACAGGAGAATGTTTCTAATAACATAGGAAAAGCCTGTACACAACAGCATTAGCTCGTAACATAGGCTTAACTCTGCAGGAGTGCAGGRATGTCTCATAACCTTCACCTTCACTTGCAACGAAATGCACATCATGCCTCACAGATATTCTTGAACTGTAAATCTATACTTTAAGTTGCCTTGAGGTAAATT